CTGGCTGCCTGCCTATCTTCGTATATTTACTTGCGTCGGAGTAATCCATATAATCGTCCAATATCGCGTTATCGGCCACGCTTTTGTGACAGCTCCCAATCACCGGGCGATACCGATCGGCGATACGGATCCGTGATTTTTTTTTTTTTTTTTTTTTTTTTCCGCCGCTGACGTTCATTCGAATATACAACCGCCAATCTTGAGCAAATCAAATTGCCTCGCCCGTCATCCATATCATTTTGACCGCTGCGTGCACCGTCACTCGGATTAACTGACGGAAGATGCGCGCCCGAGCGTCCACCACCACCACCGGTATGATGATCGACGTCGACACGCAGGAGTGGCACGATCTTAACACACAGGGACGATCGTGCGTTTAATTGCCATTTCACGAGCCGTTTCGTCTTTCTTGATAAGCAATCCCGCCCACCAGTCACGGACATTCGCACGCCACGGCCGTTTATTACCCCAGACGCGAAACAGAGTCTCGCGATTATTTCGCTCCCTCTCTCCTCCCCCCCGTTCTCTCTTCCCTTTTCGCCCCCGTCAGAACGCGTAGTAATAAATATGCCCTTCCCTCGCCGTAGCAGCGCGCGCCACGTTGGTTTCCTCTCAACCCCCTTAAATATCTTCCTCCCGCATGACGCGAAAGCGTTTTCCGGAAGTTCGATCCGCGAAGTTTGACGGCCGAGTCGTAACTTCGCGCGACGCGTTCAATATTTTCGAATCGCTGCGCTCGCCCCTCGGGGACGGCGGCACGACGCGGGAAGGAACGTTATATACGTGATTTGTAGAGGCGCGGTCCGTCCCGGCGACGACCGGGCGGCGGCGGCGGCGCGCGGACCGAACAAATCGACCTCGGTCAATTTTTTAGCATTCTCGACGAACAATCGCAGAACTCCCTCCCGCAGAGAGGACGACGATCCGCGCGCGCGGTTCGACTGTATATACATATATATATATATATATCTTCTTTTATCGGATTAAAATATCGGCTCCCCTCCAGTTATCGGTTCTCCGAAGATCGTTATTAAATTCATGAGGTGATTGCGAGAGCACGCGGAACAATGGCCGGGTTCCGTTTATATATTTACGACAAGATACGGATATTGTTATCGCGCGTGATTAGCTTATTGCGAAAACCATATTCCGCGCGCGTAATTACTGCAAAATAATTACTCGCCCGAGGATTAATATCAATATCCGGTAACAAGTGGAAATAATTTGCAGGGAGCACACGCGCATTTCGGAGATGCGATAGATTTCAGGCTCGTCAGTTTACCGTTGCTAAGTTTTTGTACCGTCGCGCCGGGCTGCAGCGTGAAAGCCGATACGTGTCCGCGGCTTGTATTTTGTATCGGCTTTCACGAATATCAGAGCAAGCATCTCTCTCTTTCGAAACTTGACGTTAACCACAAATGGCCGGCAGATGCGAAGTTCTACCGACCGACCGACCGACCGGGATGGGCGGAACAAAAGAAGCCGAGCGACGGAGGAAAGGAACGGAGAACCGTATCTGCTACTCTTTCTCTTCTTCCCTCCCTTCTTTCTCTCCCTTGCTCGCCGCATTCGAGTCCCTTCTACGGTAATGGGGCTCGTATTGCGTGTCCTTTCAATCGGAGGTTTTCATTGATCGTATCGAAGAACGGCGTTTCTAAAGAATCAGTTTCTATAGGTATTACGATCTCTCTTTATCAAAGTACACAAAGAAATTTGTTGCATACATTTTACGGTTTATAATAAAATGTAAATATACATTAACATTTCCTGATCGAGAAATGTTTTTCTCTTTTGCGCCCGTAATGACTCTTGGCGATTTCTCATTGTCAGTGGATAATTAGTAATTACATGTATGTATAGCGAATATAAAAGTCTTAAAAAAGATCTATCTCATGATATTAAATTCTCAGGTGGATATCGACCTGCGATCGCGACTGTGATTGACTTTCGCGTGGATATTCGCAACATAATCGTAATTTAAGTAATTTTTTGTCGGACTGCAGAGAGAGAGAGAGAGCGAGAAAGAGTCTTTCTTGCGCACCCCGATCAATTATCTTTCGTACATTTACGTGTGTATGTGTCGTGCGTGTCTCTCTCTCTGACGGGACACAAATCTGTCCCGCGAGTCGAAATCTCTAATCTCCTCCCGGTCTTCTGGGAGGGAGGTGGGATCTTCAACTTTGCGCGACGTGCGATTGGAAACGAACGGCTAATTCTGGAAAGCGATAACCGAGTGTGCCTGGGAGTTGATGGGAGTTACGGGACACACTCGGCCCGTTTAATTTCGGAGGCAATCAGAGAAAGAGGATAGGAAGCCTCTATCTGGCTATCCGTCGATCCATCGCGCGTCCATTCTCCCACTTACTCACACACACACACACGCACACTCTCTTTTCCCCTTCCTCTGTACAAGTTACCCTCGTTCTCTATATCCAGCTAGATACCCATCCATCTGGCTTCTTCTATCCCTCCTTCCCCGCGTAGTCGCTTCTGGTCAAGCGGCAACGTCCGGCAACATGACGTTAATTCGTTTCTACGGCAAGACGTATGATGCTTCCGATAATGACCTGCTTCAGTGCTGCGTCCGTTTATTGGCAGTGCCGCTGCTGCTGCTGCTGCTGCTGCTGCTGCTATTGCTGTATCTCTGATTCAAATTGCATGCATCGGACGCGCAAGGACGCTCGCGCGCGCTCCCCCGGTCATCGGAATCGATTGGCGTTGACGCGCTTCGATGATAATCCGATTCGAACTTGGGAAATGAGAAGAGAAACGATATTCGGATAATGCACACGTGTATATCGTTACCGGGAAAATTTATCTTTGATGCGCGCACACACACGAAACTTGTAATTTTATCGAACCCGGCACAAATATATAAACAATTCAAACTGCAACTGCGTGGATATAATTGTTAAATGACAGAGGGATGAAATTATTCACTCGAATATGTTCTTTAACGAACATTTGTAATTATTTAGTCGGTAGTTGTCCGCGCGCGTAATAGTTGTTTTCGATACGCGCTTACACACACACACACACACACACACACGTATATATATTTACGAATCGAGTTGAATAAATCAGGCAGAGGGATGGTCCAGTGTCCGACATTGAGTGGCGGTTGAATGTGCAAAGCTCGGAATATAATTATCGTTCGTATTCCGACCAATAATAAGTTAGGTTCAAATGTAAATGTTTAATCACATATAAATATGGTGTAATTAGATGGATTATATAATCATTTGCGTGTTGTTATATAAACCCATTCGCTTCTCAAATTATATGGTGTGTAACCGATACATATGTATTCTCTATTCGGATGTTCAAGTTACATCCGAATGAAAGCAAATATGTATAATTTTTCACAACGATCGATTTTTGTAAAATATTTTAACGCGTCCATTAACACGGAAGCGTTTCGTTCTCGCGCTGTAATAAGTCCGCGCGAAGTTTAATTTTATTATCCGCGAAATATTTTGAGTATTTTTTGTGTGTGGATTGGATACACACGCGATGGCCAGATTCTATTTGTGCGTTTCTCATTTTCGCTCATTACCGTTCGCGCGTAATGCGCGCGCGTCGTCTCCGATCCGAATCGCCGCTCGCCGGATGCGCAGCTCCGGTCAATCTGCATTGAGTGACAACAGGATATGGGATCGTCTGATAATTGCTCTTTTAATTATACCGCTGACCGTTACTCGCGTCGATCGATCGATGACACTGGAATATCTCTCTCTTTTTTTTCTCTCTCTCTTTCTCTCTCTCTCTCTCGCAGTCAAAGAAACTTCCCATTCTCATCTGTACGTGACGGAAACACGGGGCGCGTACAATACGGCCATTATTCTCACACGCGTGCGTATATAACGCTTATGCGCGCAAAGAAAGCATCATGAAAGCGCGATCAATTGTTGTTCGCGTCGATGTTTGAAAAAACTGCTGGAACGCATCTTCTCGATGCTTAAATAAAGCACGTCGATAGATAAAAAGCGCGTCGACGCGCGAGATTCGTGTTTTTTTGTAAAATTTATGTTTCTCGTTGAGAAAAAGAAAAACGTTATTTTCTTTCCGCGACGACAAACGACGCGGTATTTAGTGTGGTAATATGTGCGCGAATTCTCGTGCATATGTGCCGCGCGCGCGCGCGCGCGCCAGCCGAGCGTCGTCAGCGACGACGGCGGTGTAGTTTATGTGTATGACCTGAATTTGCGCGAGCACCGCGTTCGAGATTACTGCGATCGGCACTGATTGCCCCGGAAATTTCTGCTTATTACACACGGGATTCAGCGTGGCGTTAATGTTTTGCTCGGTGAGATATTAAACGCGATTATATTTCGATGAGAGTTTGAAGCATATTCGAGAAAAATACACAGCACACAATTTTGAAGCTAAATTTAGTCTTCAAAAACGTGACTAAAAGTAAAGTCACGTGACAGGAAGGAGAGGAAAAACAAAACGTGAACGTAAAGTCACCTGACTTTATTTTAGTGACGTTTGTCGTAAAAAACTGATGTCTAATTGTTTTATTGCGTCAATTTACGCTCGAATTCGACTGAAATTGGCGTACCGGCGGTGTTAGAGAACAACAAAAATTATCTCTCTCTTCGCTGTTGTCGCAAGCTTCGACGAACGAAGATCGATAATTAGCGAATAATAGAAACGTCTGCTCTTTTTAGCCGCGACGAAGAAAGGAGAGAGATTGCTCACGGTTGATTCGCTAATGATCGATCGGGCATTGTTCATCGGGCCCGCGGTCAAAAGAAAACTTATTACGGCTTATTAAGACCGGGCTTCCGGAGGGCGGATGGGTGGTCTCTTCCGTTCGTTTGCTGTCACAAAAGAAAGAGAGAGAGAAAGAGAGAGAGATGTCGACGGCCGTCGACGTCGCGCGTCTAATTAGATAGAATAGGATAATTCCACTCTTTTTTTTTTTTTTTCTCTCTCTCCAAGAGAGATAGAACAAGAACTAATCCGAAACCCTTCCCGTGCTCTTTCTTTTCCAGGTGCGGAGGATGTGTTCAGGTTTACGGGAAACGAGACGCACACAGACTACTTTCGGCTGGTGCTGAGGGACGGGAACTACCTCCTAGTCGGCGGAAGGTAAATAGAAGATTCATTTGGAGAGCGAGTGCTTTAATTAAAGAGCCGCTTCTTCTTCTTCTTCTTCTTCTTCTTCTTCCACTTCTTATTCTTCTCTTATACCTTTCCCACTCGTCATCCCATTCCCTCGGTCTGAGTCTCACTTCGCTCCCTTTGCCTATCCATCTTCCGCCGTTGAGTTGCTTGAGTTAGATCATAATGTGTAATTTTTTCTTGTTTTTTTTTTCCTTGTACATAGCGTATACACGTATACGTGTATTTCGCGCGCGCATTTTATTACGAATAATAATTAAATAATACACACGCCGCTGCGCGCAATGGTTACTATTATTGAAATCTCTTTACAAAATTAATTATAGGCAAATCATCATACGGTCTCTCTCTCTTGTTTGGTCGCGCGGTATCGTTAAATAATTAACAAATTTCCTGTTTGACGGTCACCGTTGCTAATCGCGTCACGACTTCCAAAATGCAACATTAATTGGTTATATCCCATACGCCATTCCAAATTTCATTATAAATTTTATTGTAGGCGCGATGTGTGTTCCGGGAGAAATCGCTTCGTATCAAAACACAGATTTGTATATATATATGTATATATTTATATTTACGACAAACGTACCCTACACATTCAAACCACCCACACATTCGTTTGTTCGTCGGAAAATATCTTCGTACAAACAACAAACGCGTCATCACGTACAACACAATTCGTATATTCCGTTCCGTCGAAAGGTAATAAACAACCAATTTCATTCAATATACATAATTAAATCGTAATGCAGCATTATATCCATTAATGAGATAATTAATCATGTCAAACATAACAATAGATGTCACATTATCTCGACTGCCGGACCATATTCAATCGATTATTAATGCGAGCGATACGTGTGTGCGTGCGAAACTGAACTACCCTCGCCCCTCCCCCCCCCCCCCCCCCCCCCCCCCCCCACATGTGTACTATAATATGTTTCCGCAACTTTACATCTCTCCGTCTGCGCTC